TCTCCCCCTCTCCCTCTCCCTCTCCCTCTCTCCGTCCCCCTTCCTCTCTCTCAAAAAAATTTTAATAAAAACATGTTTTTTTTAAAGGATGAATTTCAGTAAAAAAACAAGAACACAAAGTCTGAGTGTCTATCTATCCTGAAAAATAACAAGACTCACTAGGTAGGTTTGTAAAGACCCTACTCAGTGATGGCGAACCTTTTGAGCTCGGCGTGTCAGCATTTTGAAAAACCCTAACTTAACTCTGGTGCCGTGTCACATATAGAAATTTTTTGATATTTGCAACCATAGTAAAACAAAGACTTATATTTTTGATATTTATTTTATATATTTAAATGCCATTTAACAAGGAAAAACCAACCAAAAAAATGAGTACGTGTGTCATAGGTTCGCCATCACTGCCCTACACTCTGAATCAATGCGAAAGTTTAACAGAGAATGTTGGAGAAGCTTAAGGTTTGACAGCAGCTCACCTGGAGGTTAACTGATAACTGTTCAACTTAAGGCTGATGTGAAGATCAACTAGCTTATTTATTAATTGGCACTTACACTACCAACCAACCATGCAACCTCAGCATTAGCTAAGCTCCCTTGATTTATATTGCAGGCCAGGCAAACTATACACGTTCTTACAAAAAGAAACCTTGAAACCCCACCCCTTCTACCTTCCTTCCTCTCCTTTTGTTTCCCCCCAAAGCAGAAGTCTCCCTTTAATGATTGCTTAATAGAGACTAGGTTAATGGGGAGGTGGAAGAGCAGAGAGAATCTTACCCAGGTGAGGACTCTACTGTACTTCATAAGTGCATAACATATTTTATTTGTAAGGAACTTTTAATGAAGTTAATTTTAAGGGCTTTTGCAAAACCACGGATATTTTCAAACCCAGCTAATCCAACTTCATTTTATAGACGATCTATTTCAGTCGCCATGTGGTTTACCTGCTATGTCAGAGCAGAACTATTTAACCCCCCCGCCCGCCCCCCCCCCCCATAGCTTGAATTTTTGTCTTGTCACCACACTTTTTTTTAAATTTGAAAACTACACCAAACCCCCTTGGGTTAAGTTCAAGACATACTTTTCTTAGGTTTTATGTCAAGTGAATAATTCTTTAGCAAAGTTTTGTTAGAAGAGTGAAATATTGTTTTATGTGACTGTCAGAAGTTTGGTACCAGAAAGACATTTCACCTTTGTATGTTTTTAAACACAAGTAAGGCAAATGTCACATCTAACTGATGTAGGCCATGTACCACTTTCCTCATCCAAAGTGATTGGTATCCATGGAAACATTTTGAACCAGTCAGCTGACCACATTAGCTCAGCTCACATGAGTTAATACCAAATGAGGTTTTGGATGCTTTTGGTTAGTTAATTGAAATGATGCAAGTTCTTTTGAACTTACCACTAGTATTTATTTTCCTAGATTTTGTGTGTAAATGGTTTTGTTTTTTTAAAAGAAGAAAGAACAAACTTTTGCTTGATTTTTTCCCCTCCCACTTCTCATTATGTATTGCTTCTTAGCTAAGGCTCCCGAACTATGTTGTGTTTCTCTGGCTGTTTTTAGGATTTTTTTCTCTTCACTGGTTTTCAGCTATTTGATTATGCATAATAAAAAACTGGTAGTTTTCTTATAGTTCTGCTTGGAGTTTGTTGAGTTTCTTGGATCTGTGAGCTTAATGGTTTTCTTTAAATTGGGAAATTATTCAGCCCTTATTTCTTCACAGATTATTTTTTCTGTGCCTTCCTTTCCTTGCTGTAGACTCCAGTAACATACATTACATTGCTTAATACTGCCCCATAGATGACTGATGCTCTGTTCTTTTCCATCGGAATCTTTTTCTCTGATTTGTTTTAGACAGTTTCTGTTGCTATGTCTTCAAGGTGACTGGTCTTTTTTCCTGCTGTGTCTAATCTGTTTAATCCCATACAGCGTGTTTTTTTACTTCAGGTATATTTTTCATGTCTATAGTTTCCACTTGAGTCATTCCTGGTATATTTCTTTGGGTTTTTCTCCTGGTTTGGGCCATATCTTCCTGTTTCTTTGGTAATTTTTGTTAGGATGTCAGACTTTGTGAATTTAATTAATAGGGTGCTAGACTTTTCTTTTTTAAAATTCCTTTAAGTAATGTTGGCCTTTGTTCTGACATGTAATGAAGTTACTAAGTTACTTCGATGGACTGTAAGCTAATATTTCCAGCAAGGTGAAGACCATCTTGACTGAGTTAAGTCAATCCTAAGAAAGTTCTAAATATATAGCCTCACCTTTGTGTAATGCCGGTCCTAAAGTTCATTTTAGTTATGAATTATAAGTGAAGAGGCTGGCAGTACCACATGGCAGTTTTTCCTACCTCCTTTTCTGTGATGCATAATAAATAAGGAAGGATGAAATGTATTATACTTTATCTATTTTAATGTGTTTTTATTACTGCATTCATCGTCACTTCCATGCAATTCTTTTTTTTAACTTTGCACCAAATTTATTTTGTTCCTATTAAATATCATTTCTTTGAAAAATAAAAGGAAAGACCTAAAATTTTATTAAGTTTTTTAAAAATGTTTATTTTATTTATTGGGATGACACTGGTTAAGAAAATTATATGTTTCAGGTGTACAGTTCTATAATACATCACCTGTATGTTACTGTGTTCACTATCTCAAGTCTCCTTCCATCACCATTCATCCCGCTTTATTCTCTTTTACCTCCCCCACCCCCTTTTCTTCTGGTAATCACCAGCCTGGTGTCTGTCTAGGAGTGTGTGATTTTTTGCTTAATCCCTTTACCTTTTCACCCAGCCCCCCAACCCCCTTCCTCTCTGACAGGTATCAGCCTGTTCTCTGCATCTATGAGTCTGTTTCTTTCTTTTTTTTTTTTTTAACCTTTTTCCCCCTCCCCAGAGGATATGTTTATGGATTTTAGAGAGAGAGGAACGGAGAGGGGGGTAAGAGAGAGAGAGGGAGAGAGAGGAAACTCAACGTGAGAGAGAAACATCGGTCAGTTGCCCTTGCACATGCTATAGCTGGGGATCAAACGCAGCCTTTTGGTGTATGGGATGACGCTTCAACCAGTTGAACTCCAGGCCAGGGCAGCAAACTTCTCTCTTAATGTCAAGCAGATGCTTAAAGAACGTGGGTTCTCTCAATGGGTGGTGAGTGAGTGCAGTGATTTCTAAGGCCTGTAATATGAGTAGTATCAATCATTTAGTGAAGCCTCATCTATTATTACTCCTATAATTAAGCCTGCATTATTGGATTTAATCCTTCTGGTCTGGAGTCTAAGTATTTATTCTTATTTTGTAAATGTGCAATGTGGAGATTTTAAATAATTTGACCAAAGCCCACACAGCTAGTAAGCCAGACACGCAGGATTTGACCTAAGTCCCTCACACCACAAAGTCTTTGCTGTTAATCATTCCAAAACCTGTGCTGGTAACCAATGGGAAGGAAGTGAGCGACCTTGTATCAATTATAGCACAGTGGTTCTCAACCTTCTGGCCCTTTAAATACAGTTCCTCATGTTGTGACCCAATCATAAAATTATTTCCGTTGCTACTTCATAACTGTAATGTTGCTACTGTTATGAATCGTCATGTAAAGATCTGATATGCAGGATGGTCTTAGGCAACCCCTGTGGAAGGGTCGTTCGACCGCCAAAGGGGTCGAGACCCACAGGTTGAGAACCGCTGGTTTATAGCAGGTCCTTTCATCAGCTGAGTCAGCTGTTGTGGTGCGTGTAGAAGCCATGGGTATAGAGAATTTTAAGATAATCTGTATTATATTGTTTTTTTGTATGACTTTGTGAGACTTAAATAATAAGTTAGCCTGGGGAGTAGATGCATTTAACTTATTTCTAATTTTTCTCATGGTTTAGTTTGTTTTAGTTAGCTTTCAGGGTATTTCACTTGTATGTCTTATTGTGGGTGCACATGTGTGGTATGAATACTAAAGTGTTTAGAACGATCTTACCTGATTAAAAATCAAGGTTTGACCCATCAAAGCGATTCTTTACAGATTTCAGTACCGTAAATTTGTATAATTCTGCAGCATTTTTATGGTTGAAAGATAATTTATTTTCTGAAGTTTTGTCAGTCCAATTCAATAATAATGGTATCATACACTTTAGAGTCGTTTTTATTTTTTTCTCATGATTTTGAAATAGATTTGATTTTATATCAGGATATAAAACCACTGGATATTTTGTATAGTTGAGAGTTATGTTTACAAAATATAAAACATTTTATAAAGAATATTCAGAGTCGTGTTGACTGATACTATATTTGAAAGGAACTTGATGACTGATTCCTTGTAGCTTGCTGTTTGGGAATTGTATTTGTTCTCAGTTTATTTTGTTAGCTTTGCAAAAATAGAACTTTATTATTATTTGAGAAGTTGACTGGGACAGAGGATAGGCAGGAAGTGTTTGCAGAGAACAAGTTAGTGAGGAATTGCATTTGAAGGTGAAGACAAGCTAATTCCCTTTTCCTCTTCCACAGCATCCTCCTCCCACACACCTCGCCCGCCCGGTGCACTGGAGTGCGATCGGGGACATGGAAGGGTGACTTGCCTGTGTGATCAGGGCTGTTTGCTGAACGTGTGCCTAGGCTTCCGTGTGTGGGCTTCACAAAGAGGCTCTGCCTCGGGCCGCTGTGCTCTTTGTTCTTTGCTGTTTCTTCCTGAATCTGTAGGTTTTAGTTTTAAACTTGATTTATGTTAGAAAGAGTTCTACAGACAGCAGAAACTGCACATGGTTTCCGCCCGTGTGGTCAGTCCTTGCTTCCTGGGAGTGCCAGAGTTCCGGGGAGCTCCACCAGCGGGTGGACGCAGTGCTGAGGAGCACAGCGTGCGGCGTGAAGAGCTCTTACAGGCAAGTTTAAGTAGCTTACATTCACTTTCTGCGCCTGAATATCTTCTCTGCTGCTTGTCTTTCACAGGCCAGAGTGCGCACTGGGAGATTCGGCTAGCAAGCATTCGGAATCTGACGTGGAGGAGTTTTCCGATGAAACTAATACAGAGAACCTTTTTGGCGCCTCTCCCCCCAGTACACCTCGGCAGATGAAACGCCTGTCAACCAAACACCAGAGGAATAATGTAGGGAGGCCTGTCAGTCGCTCCAATTTGAAAGGTAAGTCTTGTACTTGAAAGATCCACATGAGAGGGCATGGCCCTTCTGGTACATAACTAACCTTATTGATGGATTGATTGATTGATTGATCGATTTATGTTTCTTTATTGACTAAGGTATTACAATATATGTAAATAACCTTTTTTAATTAGTCCTCACCTGCACATACGTTTTTATTGATTTTAGAGAGAGGGAGAGAGAGAGAGAGGGAGAGAGAGAGAGAGAAAGAGAAACATTGATGTGACAGAGAAACATCAATCGGTTGTCTCCCATATGCGCCCTGACCATTAGCTGCCTTGTTAGTAAAGGAGAAACTGAGTCTCCTCAGGTAGAAAGGTTTTTGCTGAGTAATTGCTAAAGTCATTTGTATTTTTTTGAGGACAAAGGAATACAGAGGTTGTGGAAGAGGCCAAGCATGGATGGATCCACATACTCATGCAGGGTGGCTTCGGCGAATGAGATCGATGGCCTTCCTGTCCTCTGCCCCTCCCGGGCTGAAGGACTGGGTTCTGTCTTCCAGACATGACAGGCGCAGTGGGCCACGGGGAGGGACAGAGCCAGGCTTTCTTCCCCAGGATTCCTGGCGGCCTGCAGCCTGAGTTCTCGCCTGTGACAGTGCAGCTGCCTTAGGACGTGGGGCCCTCCTGGCCACGCAGCGCAGCGCCTGGCTGGTTGGTACACCACCCTCCTACCATGGACAGATCCCGCGCTCTTCGTTTCTCCTAGAAGCTGAGTGTTCTCTGTTTTCATTTCTTCCTTCCTCCTGGCCCTTCTTTCCTGAGGTAGATGATCAAATCATGCCGGCCTGCTGCTTCCTGAGCCCTACTTCTCACACCAGCCTCAGGTCACTGAAGCCTAGACATGAGAATTTCCCTGTTAATTTCAGCGAACCACTGGTCCTGAAACTGATTGTGTAGCCCCCTGGCGTTCATCCATCTGTTACTGCACAGGACAGGGATTTCACTTTCTTCCTCATCTGAGAAGCTTCCCCATCGCCTGTTCTCCTTGCTGAGACCAGACCCCTTCCCATTCCTCTTTCTTCAGTTTCTTCCTCTCTCTTCGGCCAGACTCCCTCTCTGTCTGCCACACAGCCCCTCACAGGGGCGAGTTTCCCTGTCACAGCCCCGCCTCGAGAAAGAAGGAGGCAAGAGAAATGGCTCGATTGTGCTGATTTGCTTGAGTAAATCATATCCAAGGAGGAATTCCTAAGTGTGACTTGTCTTTCTTTCCCTTAGGGAAGATGATTTTTTACTTTCTTTAAAACTTTATTTGCCATAGGATGTTAAACTGTCCTTATCCCCTTTGGAAATGAGAATAGCTTTCTCATCTTTAAAATTAATCCTTATCCATTTTCTGAAAAGAAAATTTTCAAATGCCTAGAGAAATTCCTTATCTCAAATAGTATCATTGAAGCAGCATCTAATGAATCAGAATTAATACATATTTGCTTTGTGGTCGTAAAGTGAGAAGATGGCAATAGCACATCTACTTTTTCTTCACTCGTTGGTTCATGCTATTTTAGAATAGGAGTTGCGAGCACAGTTTCCCCATTTTGTAGATTGAGAGACTGAGAGAAATGTTATATATTTCTTGGTTCTTTTAATTTTCAGCATATGGTATGATTTTTTTTCTCTAATAACAGCCTGAAAATATAAGTGCATGTGAAGATCAGTTTTATTGAAAGTATTGAGAGTAGCTTCATATTTAGAATAATATAATGTTGTTTATTTTTTTAATAGAAAAAACAAATGCATTGAACCAGCCTCCACATAAAGACACTGGGAAAATCGGGGAGAAAAAGATCCGAGCGGCCATTAGGACGACAGAGCGCGATCATAAGAAAAATGTGCAGTGCTCCTTCATGTTGGACTCAGTGAGTGGGTCTCTGCCCAAAAAGCCGATCCCAGATGTGGATCTCAATAAGCCTTACCTCAGTCTCGGCTGCAGCAACGCCAAGCTTCCCGTGTCTGTGCCCATGCCTATCGCGAGAACTGCACGCCAGACTTCCAGGACCGACTGTCCAGCAGATCGCTTGAAGTTTTTTGAAACTTTACGACTTCTGCTAAAGCTTACCTCAGTCTCAAAGAAGAAGGACAGGGAGCAAAGAGGACAGGAAAATACATCTGCTTTCTCATTCAACCGGTCGAATGAGCTCATCTGGTTAGAGCTACAAGCCTGGCATGCGGGACGGACCATTAACGACCAGGACCTCTTTTTATATACAGCCCGTCAAGCCATACCAGATATTATCAACGAAATCCTTACTTTCAAAGTCAATTATGGGAGCGTTGCCTTTGTTAGAAATGGAGCTGGTTGCAATGGTGCCCCGGTGGAAGGACAGTGCCCGGCCCCTCACGGAACGAGGATTGTGGGTTATCCCACGTATCATGAGCATCTCCAGCGCCAGAGGGTGTCATTTGAGCAGGTAAAGCGGATAATGGAGCTGCTAGAGTACATAGAAGCACTTTATCCATCGTTGCAGGCTCTTCAGAAGGACTATGAAAAATATGCTGCAAAGGACTTCCAGGACAGAGTGCAGGCACTCTGCTTGTGGTTAAACATCACAAAAGACTTAAATCAGAAATTAAGGATTATGGGCACTGTTTTGGGCATCCAGAACTTATCAGACATTGGCTGGCCAGTGTTTGAAATCTCTTCCCCTAGATCGTCCAAAGGCAATGAGCCAGAAGATGAGGGAGATGACACAGAAGGAGAATTGAGAGAGTTGGAAAGTAGCTCGGATGAGAGTGAAGAACAGACCTCTAATCCAAGGGCGCCAAAAACCAGGCAGCCCCTCGACAACACTTTCTGCTTCCCGTCACAGGACTGCCCCGCCAAGAGGCTTGAGAGGCTCGAATCGGAGGAGGACTCTGTTGGCTGGGGAACGCCGGACTGCAGCACCGAGGCCGGCTGTAGCAGACATTGTCTGACTTCTATTTATCGACCATTTGTAGACAAAGCACTGAAGCAGATGGGGTTGAGAAAGTTAATTTTGAGACTTCACAAGCTGATGGATGGTTCCTTGCAAAGGGCCCGGGTAGCGCTGGTAAAGAGTGACCGTCCGGTGGAGGTAGGTTCCCAGCAGGCATTAGTGTGGTCTTCTCTTTAGTGCCATTATTGGTTGTAAATTACAATGTATGTTGTGGTGACTATTACGTCACAGTCATGATATTTTTAAGGCATAAGTGGTAGTTATCATAAATTGCAGATTTAAACATTTCTATAAAGTACTGTGATAAATGGGGAAATGGATCTATGAAAACTGTACAAAATTTAGTGAATTAAATATAAGGTGGTGTGTGGAGGGAAAAATGCAACCATGTAAATATAGGATGGAGAAGGACAGGCTAGGTATAAATAAAGAGGGAGGGAAGCCACAATCATGGGTGACCACAAGCCGAATATGAGTCAGTCGAAAGTCAACATGATGCTAAAATATTTTTAAATGAATACGGCATCCAAGGTCATGGATATAGTTTTTTCTCTATTCTTTGCAACAGCTTTCTCCTTTTTTGAGTAGCATGTCCAGTTTTGGTCACTGGATGTTAAAGAGATGTGAATTGTAGAGAACTGTGAGAATGATGAAAGGAAAACGAGTACACTGTTTGGTGAGGTTTAGCATAGGTGACGCAGGTCTAAGGGAAGTCTTAATTATTGTCAAACGCATGCTTCAGTGGGTGAAGTTTTTGTGAAAGGAGTATGCCTGTTAGAGGAAGTGGTTGAAGTTGGGTTTTGTACACATTTAGTTTTGACAGCTTAATATCTCACATTCTTTGCTGCTAAGGGTGGTAAAACGAAAGGGCCGTACTGTTGGGTATTGTTCTTGATTGTGAAAGAGCGCCAGCGATGGTCCTGTGCTGAGGCGAGTGTGCATGCTCCTGTGGCTGAAAGCAAAAGGGCCAAGACCTATGGGATCCCTTCTGCCTGTGTGAGGTTGTGGTTACAGATTTTAGTAGCTCTATGCATGTGCATAACCTTTTTAAAAAACTGCAGTTTATGGCATCATCTGAAAAAATAATTTACTTTTAAACTGATGTGCAGGTCATGACCCTTAGGAAGAGTGGTCAAGCATTCACATAATATAGCAGGATGTTTGCAAAATGAGTCGATACTTGGTAGCTATCTGAGGTTAGTTTACTTTGAGTATTATTTTGATTAGAAATCTTAAAAATGAATCTATACTGTGATTTGCTTTGAACAGTATTTTAACTCTGAATGATTTTTTATGTATATCTTGTTTTATAGCGCGTGAGGGTCATTTTTCCCCCCCTGTGAATAACTATTTTATAATAAGATTTTAGTATAGTGCAGGTTTCTTTCTTCTTTTTTTTAAATCCTCACCCAAGGATATTTTTCCATTGATTTTTAGAGAGAGTGGAAGAGAGGGGGAAAGACAGGAGAAACATCGATTGGTTGCCTCTTGCACGTGCCCCGACCAGGGCTTGGGCTGAGAAGAAGCCTGCAACCCAGATATGTGCTCTTGACCGGAACTGAACCCGGGACCCTTCAGTCCGCAGGCCGATGCTCTATCCACTGAGCCATACTGGCGAAGGCATGTTACAGTGCAGGTTTCAGTCAGTAGAGCAAAACTAGATCTGTACTAAGGATTTGCCACATGTTCCAGATGGGGAAGAGCTTACTTTGGTCTAGCTTTTTGGCTGGAATGGTTCAATTCCAGTGAGCAAATGTGTGGGCAAGCCAGGGTTGATGATTAATATTTATTGTGAAGCACTAGGGTTGAAGTAATATGAATGAAAAGGCTCTGGCAGTATTACTGCTTCTCTGATTCAGTGCTTCTTGTAGGAGAGGGGCAGGTGGTGTGATGGTGAGGGCTCGGGGAGGTGTGTCTAAGGCTTCATAAAACTGCTTTCCATGCTGTCACCCACATTGTCTCTCTCCCCAGACCCTCTTTGGCAATGAACCATCGCTACTAACAGGAGTGCTTTGCATCCTTAGATATGTTGGAACATGATATCATTGCATTTTGTGTTAGAATTTATGTTGAAAACACACAGTAGTAGGTAGCCATAGTTTTGGATTGCCATCAAAGTTGTGTTCCTTTGGTTTGACCAAGTGAGATTTAAATGAATATGTTATCCTTGTTGTAGAAAAAAAGAAACATACAAATTCAAAGCTTAATAAGTGTGTGATTAAAGATTTGTTAATTAAAATTAAAATTATCTATACATAGTTTGCTTCACAGAAGCCCCTGTTGTTTTAAATTTTGGTTATGAAACGTTATGTTTGTCAAATAATGAAAGAGTAACCGAGTGCTAAAGTAGAAACTTTTCTGTATTGGAGATTAGTCCAGATTAATAAAAGACAAGGCTCTGAAATAATTAGCTTGGTTGGAAAGAAAGACTATTTTTATTCCCATTTCAGGGACATAATTCTGTAAGGGGAGGTATAGTACATGAACACATGTACACTCCCATCTGGGTTTGTTTTGCTTTAGTGTTTTTACTAAGTATGTTGGGGAAAGATGCACAGTTTTGAAGTCAAATAACTGGATTCTGTTCCTTGATGTGGCTCTTTCTCGCCACATAACTTTGTAAATGACTTAATCTTTCTGATCCTAGGTCTTCACATCTGTAAAATGGGTATAATACCTTCCTACCTACCTCACAGGGTTGTTGTGAGGCTTAAAACAACATTTGTATAAACAACATTTGTAGTAAAATGCTACAGAAGTAAAATATAAACTATTATTTCTCAAGTTTTGTTATAATTTTTCCTCCCTTGAAGCTAACTCTAAGTTAGTATGGGCTAGACCAGTGATGGCAAACCTATGACACGCGTGTCAGAGGTGACATGCGAACTCATTTTTTTGGTTGATTTTTCTTTGTTAAATGGCATTTAAATATATAAAATAAATATCAAAAATATAAATCTTTGTTTCACTATGGTTGCAAATATCAAAAAATTTCTATATGTGACATGGCACCAGAGTTAAGTTAGGGTTTTTCAAAATGCTGACACGCCGAGCTCAAAAGGTTCGCCATCACTGGGCTAGACTATTCTATATTTTTTTAAAGTATGTGTTTAACCTTTAATTACCAAATAATTGTGTATTTTAAGGGTGTAAATTAGTTTCAGAATTGCTCACTAGTACCCTGTGAGGAATAAAGTTACCAACTAGAGTACAGTGTATAATTCCATTCTTTTGTCTTTAGCCTTATAGAACACAGTGTTCCAAAGTTAGTTAGGTTAGCACCTTTTTCCTTTACCCTGTTCAGTAAGGTTAAATCATACATTTATAGTGTAGTTAGATTCATTTATCTCGTCTGCACTCTGTCCTGGGATTTTCCAATGTCCTAGTTGATTTTAAATTTGCCAACTGTATGAAGTTCACTCTTTGTGTTGTACAGACTGTGGGTTTTGTACATTTAATATGTTAAAAAAAAACTAGCATATTTGAGCCATAGATTGTGATATGGTTAATTTGTGTTTCTTCCTTTTTTTATTTATGAAATGTATATATTTTCAGAAGAAGAGAAAGATAAAATGAAAACTTACATTTTAATGAAATATACAAAAAATTAGCTGTCTGACTTTGTAGATTACCATGCATATTACCTCAAATTCTAAGAGGATTTTTGGTAACTCCATTAATTACTTTCTTTTGAATGAGAACTGATTATATAATTACTAGAGGCATGGCACACGAATTCATGCACAGGTTGGGGTCCCTAGGCCTGGCCAGCGATCAGGGCTGGAAGTGGGGAGGGGTCGTGGGAGGTTGGCCGGCCGCGGGAGGTTGGCTGCGGGAGTGCATTGACCACCAGGGGGCAGCTCCTGTGTTGAGCATCTGCCCTCTGGTGGTCAGTGTGCGTCATAGTGACCGGTTGACTGGTCGACTGGTCGTTTGGTCATAACGGTCGCTTAGGCTTTTATATACAGGCAGTCCTTGGGTTATGTCAGACTCAACGTATGTCATTTCATGGTTACGTTGCCATCTCCCATTTACAGTATTTATTAAAAAAAAATTTCCATCATTTCGACGTATGTACATATGTGCTTTATGTTTTTTATTATTTATTTACCACAAGTAAAGGTCAGGAATTATCTTTCTTTTAAATTTTTTTTT